TGTGCTGGTTTGCTGATTTTTTTATTGTTCCCTTCCGTGCAACTGCTTCACCAGTTCTTTATTTCAAGTGCTCTTCTTTGCTTTCTGTTCAGTATAGAGCATCTACCTTCAGCTAGCAGGCACTCTGCCCTCTCTCCGGGGCTTTCCGTTGAATACCTACCCTTCCTAGTCTTCTTAAGTAAAAGTGTATGGTGTGTAGAATAAAGTGAGAGATGATATTTGTTATTTGACTATATATATGAAAGGATCACACTGGTTTTGTACCTCCACAATTCAGGAGTTCCCCCAGAACAGGGAATCAATCTCTGTATGGTCTTTTTGGACAGTGCAGTTGAATGAATCTCACTGCACTTTAGATGTCTGCGGCACAGATGTGTACATATGAGCTAGTCACTCAAGCCTGCTTTTGAGTGAATTACAAGAGGTGAGTGCTTTTAGAGTACAATTCCTCCCACCTGAGGTTTACTTTAAGATTAGCTAAAGTGCATCCAGAGGTGACTCGTAAAGCCCATCAACTGTAAGGGAAGTCTAAACAGCTAAAGTGATTATAGTCACAGGTGCTACAAATACCTGCATTGAATCAAGTGTATCACTTCCTGTGTGGCTCTGTCGCAGTACTGTATTGTAGTAGTAGTAGTCATGTTCTTGTGGGTTCATGCATAAGGCTTAGTTTGTTTCCTGTTAAATAAAATTCCATTCAGTACTATTGTTTATATTAAAAAACTTTTACAAGATGTAAGTTGCAAGTGAAGCAATTAATTAAGGAATTTCAAGTATAATAAAATTGAGATATTCAATAAGTTTTAGAATTAAATTGACTTACAGTAATTGTGATCTGTAACGACATAAGAGGATCAAGATGTAGAAGTGGGTCTTTAAAAATTAGTTAAAACTAATCTGGGATCAAGGATAAAATCACATTATTTTGTGTTGGCATGGAGAGAATTAGGCTACATGGAGAAAATTGGACTGAATACCTTAGCTCAGCTCTGCATTTTTTAGATTTCAAAGACATGTTCAGTTTGCGTACAAAGAAATTCTTCTAAGTTTGGTTATAGCATGTCTTTACCACGTTGTGAGTATCCAAGTTTCTTCAGGGAAAGAAAGTGCATAAACTTTCATCCCTCAGGCAGTGTTGGCTAACTGTCCATGAGTGAGCCTTTTCCCAAGAGCACTTTGCAAAAAACAGCTCCATGTACCTAATTTCCTTGAAGTAGCCAACATGTTCTACTTTCCTTTCCTATAGCAGTGGAATATCAATGCTGAGGCTGAGAAAGCTTCAGCTGTATCATAGGTTATACAAGGAGCGTATAGGTTATATGAGGATCTGGGTGATCTTTGGCAAGTGATTTCACTAGGGTGTGCCACAGTTTCCTTTTAATTTGCAGAATATTGGCATTAATCTTAGTGAGATCTGCTAATGAGCAGTGCTTCACCAGACCCTGGTAGTGCCATTAATCATTGGATGAATAGCTAGTGTATTTGTCTGGATAGACAAATTAAGATAGGGTACAATGGCTTAAGGCAAGTCAGATTTTACACTGACAGGGACTAGGTACGTTTTTTGAATAGGAAAGAATTGCTTTCCACTAGACCTCTTAAACCAGTGTGCTTTACCTCTTGACAAGGTACTGAGTCATCCACTGCCTGGAGGAAAGCACTTAAATCATCAATAAACAGTCATTCTGCCCAGCAGGAGAGGCAAGTTCGCTTCTCAAGACATCCTGTGTTGTTTGTTCCTCTATTGGACAAAGGTTGGCGAAACAGAAGTGGCTCTGAGATTCAAGTGGGGAGCAGGCTCCTTGCATGTGAGGGTGTTCAGAGAGTGATGCTGATAGGTTCCAAAGAGCATCAACTTCAGCAGGACAGATTTGTTGGGATTTTTCTGTAGGTTTAGGTCTAGGTCAAGAAGCTTTTGGAAGGTATGGCACTCCATCTATGTATTCTGTTTTTCCTGTAACTGAACTTACTGCACATACCTTCTGCACCTCCCACCTCCCTCTGTTTAGGGTCATCTTCCAAGCTTCTCCTTTCAGTAAGCCACTCTTCTTTATGCCAGTTACTCTCTATACCTCTTGCTTTTTGTACTTCTGCCTGCAAACCTGTTTTGCTTCCTCCCTAGTCAGAGTGCCAGTGTTTGCTGCCTTATCCTGCTCTGCTTTCCAGAGCTGTGAATGTCTGGAGAGCTTCTGTGCTTCTTATGAATGTATTATGGTTCTCTGTTCTGCCTGCTCTCAAAAGTTCAGGAAAGATGAAATGAATGGTTTCCTCCCATTTCTTTGCCCTCCACACCAAGGACTTCATTTGCTCTTTTTGTGTTTCTTTTCCCATCTCTCAAAAGACACTTTTGCCGCTCTTAAGGTTCTCTTGCTTTTTTGAATCCATTCCCTTCCTGAAACAAGTCAAGAAAGCATTTGCTTTCCCTGAGTGGGGAAGATGGCAGAATTGTGACAAGCCTATTGGTCTGTAAGCTCTAAGTAGGGTTTCTGAGTTTCCTGAAGGTAATTAATTGGTAGAAAGTACTTCTAAAGTAACTGTGAAAAGAAATCTATCTTGAGAGAATAGTCCTATGTTTGTGCCTTGACTCTCCATTCAGTTTTTACTTGCTGTTTTATTTTGTCTGCTGTATAATATGACCAGCCATCCAACATGTGTCTAAATGTTACCTGTGAGGGGAATTCTGTAATTTCTTTACATGTACATTATAGTTCTTGGTCTCTGGATAGAAAAAAAGAGACTCTATTAGCTTGCTTACTTTTTACAGAAGTCAGTAGAGTCAAGGTGCTTGTATATGCCTTTCGTTACTATGTGAAGTTTAACTGTGAGGAAGAAACCAGGGCGTACTGGAATATTAAATAGTGAGTAGGAAAAAAGATGTGTGATGAATGGAAAAATTTCATTTTGTTGAGGATTTTGTCTGTTTCATGGGTTTTTTGTTTCTGCTACAGATGTTTTGGATTGCCCTGACCAAGTTACTTACAGATTAAGTAGGATTTACCTATTTATGAGATTAAAAAAAAAAAAAATCTTCTGTTTATCTGCTTAAACAGATTTATCTACTGTTTATCTGCTTAAATGTCTCTGAGAACTTCACTCAATCTGTTTCTCTAGTAATATGAGGGCAATAATGTTTCCTGACCTATGGTATTGTCTGCACAGGTAATAATCTGTTTTGAAAGGTGTTACTTCCTATTCTGCAATGTGTTCCAGACATGATTTGTCTTCCAATAAGATTATATACCACCATGACAACATACCCTAGTGTTAATAATGCAAAAATCATGTTTTGGTTTATTCACTATTCAATTCCTAAAAGCAGCTCAGTTAGTCTGCAACCTATATAGTGTTTGGTTTTGCTGCCTATATGAAGGACTTTGTTTTCTTACAACTTACTAATAATTTACAAATACTTTTGATTTATGTCATTATTTCAAGTGTTGTTTATTACAGATCCATTCAGTACTTAAAAATAGTCACTGTATAAAAAAAATCAGTGGAACATGTGTAAAATGGTCTAAAAATTGGACAAAAGTTAAATTTCCAAACTATCCTGAACTTTAATTTAGCAGGAAAAGACATAGAGTCATGTTTTGAAAGCTGAAGCTAGATAAATTGAAGTAAATGAAACTAGATATCTTCCAATTAGTAAAGAGGTGTGTAGTTTCACTGTGAGAGTAAACAGTAGTTGTAACACATTAGATAGTGCTCTGAAACATTATTCTGATCTTGAATTTTCTAAAATGGAAAGAGAAACCATAGGATTTTTTGCCTAAATTACTGAATTAATGCAGAACAAATGTTATATAAGTCATGTTGGCTTTAGAATCTGTAAATTTTTGAATCTATGTAATCTTTCCTCTTTTTTTATTATTGTCTGATTGAGGTGTTAACCAAATTTATGGACCTTCATCTCTAGATGAGGTGGTTGAGTTCTAGCATCATGTTTTCTTAAAGCCTTTAATTCATGGATTTGCAATCACAAGTGTCCTCCCTCTTGTATGGTGGTCAGTACTAAGTAAAACATTTATATATTTGGATTGGAAGACTGGTTGTCTTGAAATTATATTGTAAAGTGGGATATTATAGCTAAATGGTCACATCAGATATTATAGCCAAATGGTCACATCTGCAAAGTTATTTCTGCTTGAAATAGAGCACTTGGGCAAAGGGAAAATACACAGCAACTGTGTTTCTGAGAGTGTATGAGAAGACACAAGGATGGTTAAAAAAAGCTGCTCTTGCAAGTATCTGTCTGCTTCTTGCAGTAAGTACTGGGATTTAGAATCACTTGTCTTTTAGATCTCTATGCTTTGCCTGAAGAGGAAGAGGCTAAGAACCGCTATAAGTGGAGAAAGAGTGCTGTACAAGTATCTTTGCACGATAGTCTGGAAAATAACCTGGCTATTAATAGGTCAAATATATATATCCACATCTTATAAAATTCTAATGGAAATTATTTGCTTTTAGTCCCCAGATCTTGAAGGTGTTGCAAAGGGAAGTAGTATCACTGAATCCTGATGTACAATAGTGTAATGGAGATAAAAGTACTGTGGGTAATCACTGAGGTAGAATTTGCAGTTGACACTATTTATTTGCTCTCAGTTAAAACTGGGCCTTTTGGTTGAGTGCATAGAAGGGTTGGGGTCAGTCACCAGCGGAACTGACACATGCATGCTCCAGCAGTAGGGAGAGTGTGTTGTTTGACCTTTGCCTTATTCAACATATGGGGCAGGATATTAATGCTTATTGTCACTTATTAACACTTATTATCACTTTGCCTCCTCACTTTGGTAAGCATTTGCATTGTCTTCTCTCTCTCTCTCTCTCTCTCTCTCTCTCTCTCTCTCTCTCTTACTCTCATTCTAGCAGAAATAAACATTGTATAAGTTACAGGTTTCAGGCATATTAGTGTTGGGTGGAAATGCCTCCTTCTGAGTGTATTTATTGTGTTATATTGGAATTCAAAACTGGTAACTTTGTTTCTCTATTATTTCCCATAGGGTGCAGCTCTGATTCGAATGCTGGCTAGCTTTATGGGGCACTCTGTGTTTCAAATGGGCTTACAAGTAAGTAAAGGCATTTCCATCTTTGTGTAGATGTGTGTTTCTAGCAGTTTCTCTTGCTCCCTCTTTTTTCTTTCAAAGCTATATTTGCATCAATTTCTGGAAATGTTTCTTTACCTTAGGACCATCTGAAGTACCACCATGTCCCTGAAGCTGAATTTGATTGAAGATGCAGTTTCACCTATATTTCTTGATGTATGAAGTGATTGTACTTCAACTGGCATACAGTTTTGTGTAGAGTGCCACATAAATGACACTTTATCCATATGACAAATATGTGAAGGACTAGCTGAGGAAGTAACTACTTCTCTTCACCTGTGTTTCACTGCTGGTCTAACAAAGAATAACAATATAAGCCAGCTGGAAAATAAACAGCCCTAAAATGAATAATGCTTTTCAGATAAATATTTTGCCATGCTTTCCTCCGTAGCAAAATCCTTGAGCTTTATTTTTACCTTCAATAAGCATGGAGTGCTCTCTGCCTTAACGATGTTTTGAAAACTCTGTCTTTTAAAAGAAATTTGAAGAGGTAACATTTCTATGGAAAGAGAAAGAAATTCAACATGCTGATTACCAAGGATGAACTCCTTTCAGCAATAATTCAGGACAAAGAGTGTTTCGTAAACTATTTAAAAACAAACAAGCCAAAGCATAAAAAACAATGCAATTTCCTCTATTCTATTGAAATCTGCTTGAGTAAATCATGTTACAGGCAGCTGTGATTGATGAATTATGTATGATACAGCCTGCTACTTAGAAGTGTCCTTTAAAGTAAATTGATGTTCACCTGAAATACAATTATGCTAAGTTGGAAGGAGTAATCAATCTTATCTGTTCTTAGTAAGCTTTTCATTTTGAAATTTAAATAAACTACATCTAGGATCAGGTCATTTTTTAACAGAATAATTCTACCTCTAACCAAAATAAATTGGAAGATAAAATATAAACCAAAAATTAAATGAATGCATTGGTCATGTCAGACAGGTATTTTCCATGCAAAGGCAATGAAAGGAAACTTGCTGAGGAAATGCAGCTTTTTGGAGAATCTACAGTACAATCAGGATTTGTAGCATAACTTACTCATGGGACCAGCTTGATCATTTGATTAATTGTAACACCAGGTCAGATCTATTAGATAAATTTCTCATCCAGATGAGAACTCTTTAAATCAGAAATTTCCTTCATAAAGGCTTGTGTATGTCAAGGGTAAAACCATCATGTCATTTAACACAGTAAGACTTCTGTCCTTAGTCTAGCAAACTCCATATTCCAGCCAGAAACTTCTGTTTGGACAGATCCGTTCATAGAAGATTTCAGTAGCACTTTTTCCCAGTGGAGTATGTCACTCAGGGTTTTAGAAAGGAAAAGTTTTAGTGTGTACATCTTAAACTGTGTTTTTCTGTTTTCTTCTACATTTGCCTGAGAAATAACAGTGTGCAAGTTATCTTGAAATAGACTGAGAAAAAAGCTCAGATCAAAGAATAGCTATGCAGGGATTAATCATAATTACCATAAAGTTGTAATGGAGCTTTGGTTTTTGATTTGAATGGTTTCTTATTATTTCTGCTTTTCACTAGTTTGACTCTGAATAGAAACCATTCTGTTTCCTAATGAAAGTCTATGAAAAATCTAACTGTGAAAGTCTGACTAGTACAAGTCTCGGCATCAGTTCAGTAGGAAGATGATGATTTTAACTAAAACCAGTTTGAAATCCAGATAGAGATTTTCCATGTGTATGTTTTCAAGCTGAACAAAATAAAACATGAAGTTCATAAGTTTTTCATAAGCTACAAATTATACAGTTGGAAATATCTGTCAGTCATTTAATTTTTTGCATTTTGCAAATCTAACAAAATACTGTTCCTGCACTGTATATTTGGGGGGCCATATCTTTGCTAATGACAAGGGAAACCGGAGGTTTAATTTACCCTTTCTGGGGTATGCACTGGTTTAGGCATTTTAGCTCTTTAGCTTGGTACCATCATTTGGGTTTTTGAATTATGTTGCCTTGAATCCTGTTTTAACATGGAACTCTGATATTCAACTAAATGTCATTTCTGTAGAATGGCAAAATTGAATACTACTAATATTTGTAAATCTCTTCAGATAACAAATATTCTGAAAATGCACTTGATGGTTCATTCCTCCTGTGTCATTCTAATGGCTTGCTGAGTAACTGAGTTCTAAAAGACCTACACAGCCAGTTTTTCCAGGAGAATGCTGTGGGAAAAGGTGTCAAAATCTTTAGTAAGTTTAGGTAGACAAAATCCATGGCCTTTCCCCTCATCTACAAAGCAGGTCACAGGAAGGGGTCAGGTAGGTCAAACAGGACCTTTCTTACAGCATGCTGGCTGGGCCTGACGCCCTGGTTGTCTTGCATCTGCCATTTGATGGCACTCAAGACAATCTGCTCCATGACCTTCCCTGGCACTGAGGTCAGGCTGACAGGCCTGTCATTCCTCAGAACATCCTTCCAGCCCTTCTTGTAAGTGGGTGTCACATTGCCCACCTCTGGTTGTCTAGGACTTACCCAGTGAGCCAGAACTACTGGTAAATGATGGAAAGTGACTTGGTGGGTACTGCTGCCAGCTCCCTCAGGACCCTTGCATGGATCCTGTCCTTTCCAATAGACTTCTGTGTATCTAAGTGGTGTAAAAGACTCCCAGCCATTTTCCCTCAGATGTTTGGTGCTTTAATTCTGCTCTCTGTCTCTGTTGTCCAGCTCAGGGGGCTGGGTACCCAATGAACAATTGGTCTTAATATGAAAGACTGAGACTAAGAAGGCATTAAGTGCCCCAGCCTATTCCTCATTCTTTGTCACAATGTAATTCCCCATATTCTGCCAAGAATGGAAATTCTCAGCCCTCCTTCTGTTGCTAATGTATTTATACAAACATATTTTTAATGTGTTTTACAGCAGTGTCTAGATAAAGTTCTGCTTTGGCTTTGACTCTTCAAGTTTTCTGCCTGCATAACCTCACAATGCCCTTGTAGTCCTCCTGAGTTGCTTGCCCCTTCTTCCAAAGGTCATAAACTTGTTTTTGTTATCTGAGCTCCAGACAAAGCTCTCTGTGCAGCCAGGCTGATGGTCTTCCCCACTGGCTTGTCTTTCAGCATGTGGGGATGGCCAGCTCCAGCACCTTTAGGATTTCTTAAATATGTTCAGCATTCGTGGACTCCTTTGCTCTTCAGGCAAAAGCCCAAAGGGCTCTCTCAAAGAGTGTCATAAACAGGCCGAGGTAGCAGTTCTATTGACCCCTCTCCTAATTTCTCCAAGAATTGAAAATTCAAACTGTCATTTCATAGTTGCTGAGCCCAAGATGCCTTCCAATCATCACGTCACCCACCAGTCTTTGTTCACAAACAAGAGCTCCTGCAGGGCTGCTTATTTAGTTGTCTTGCTCAGCAGCTGTGTCTGGAAGTTAACTTCCACACACTCCAGGAACCTTCTCTATTGTTACCTCTCCACTCTATTAGATTTCCAGTATTATTTCAATTCTTTTTAATGTGTTAGCTATGTCCTTAACTGTTTAACATATGATAAAAAAGAGTAATTCTGAGGTCTTATAAAGTAGCATAAACAAAAATGGGTAGTTCTTTATTTGTGATGGATTTGTTTGTGGTTTCATCCAAATCAAGGAATGATTCATCATATTATTAAGAGCTAAAGAATTAGAGCTTTAATATAGGAGACACTACAACAGACAAGGTGTAACTTAACTTTGGGTTAGGGAGAGGAAAAAATAAGGTTTAGAACAAGAAGCAAATAGAATTGCTACCTTATTTGTTAATTGCTTGTTTTTTCTTACTGACTTGGCATGTGGACTTTTAAAATAGCAGGTGGAGACAGGCTGGGGGTGAAAAATCCCTTATTTGTCAAAGAAAACAATCAATTTCATTAAAAAGCAGAGAAAAGTTGATGGAGGAGAATGAGGTTCTTTGGTGGATATTTTTTACCAATAAATATAATCTGATGGAAATGTACAAATGTGCATGTGACCTGTAACAGTTTAGCAAACTGCTCTGTTAAGGAGTCTGAAAGGAAGTAAAATTCTGGTAGAAGTGCTTTTTTTTACACTGTAGATGTCTTTGTAGAGATTCATATCTGTCAAAAATAACTGGACTGTTCCTATGATGGTAAATATACTTGAAAGGGCATTTGATTATACAATAAAGCTGCATCCAAGAGACTAGTGAAGGCAGGATTTTTGAAAAGCCCTTCAAAGATATGATGTCTTGAATTATATGGCATTTCAAACAGGAGATTTAGTTACAGACAAAAAATTCTCACTGTACCACTCTGTAGGCAAAAGCAAAAGAGAATATATTTCTATTGGCTGTAATGAATAATTGAATAATGACAGTAGTAGCCACAGCTGGTAACACTTGCATATGAGAAAGTTACAGCTATTATTTTTGTAGAAAATGTCTAATAAATTCTTCCTTCTCACAGCAGGTGATTTATGTCTTTGTAAAGGCTCTGGCATCTTTCATGATGTGCAGTTTCTTATGCCCCAGGAAAATTCAAGAAGTGCACATCACTGAATGCCAGTACTCTTCTTACAAAATGGTGTTGCTTTTCAGTCAAAAAGCTATTAATCAGGTAAGAAGTTGGTTAGTATATGAAGAGGCTTGGTCAGCACCACTTGCTCTGATTATGTTTCTGATCTGCACAAATTGATAGATGTAGAAGCCATAAGTTGGCTTTATCATTTAGTCATCACTCAGGGTGCTAATGTGCAATACGATACTAGGTCTGTGTGATATTTTCTTCTGTAGGCTGTTGTTCCAACTCTGTGCCTGAAACAAATGGTTTCTTACATGTCTGGTGTCACTGGATTGCATTTATGGGAAGATTTTACTGCGTTACGACAATGCATCTCTTCAAGTAATCAGTGCTTGGTTTTTATTCTTTTCAAATTAAATAGAGAGAGAAGTACCAGGGATTTGAATGTTTGGTAGATATGTTTTAAAAGGCACCTCCAGTGCTGTAATGAGATATA